GGCAGGAGTTGATTCTATGCCAGAAAACAATATTTCTTCAGACCTTTAGAAGAGATCTTCAGTGGGCTAAGTCACGGGCATCACCTTGAGAGTCAGAGGGAGAAGGGGATTTCATCCTTGGGAAGAGGCACAAAACCAAAATTCGATTATTGCAGAAGAGAATTAATCCTGTGTTGTAGGAACTTTCAAAGAACATTCCTCAGCCTCCCTGTTGTCCTTCTGAAATATTCAAATAGTTCCTAAAGCCCATATTTCATGACATCATCAGTTTAGATAGAGGCTGTGTGGGGTGTGCTGGGCAATGAAGAAAGGTCTCAGGGCCGGCCCGGTGGCGCACTGGAGAGTGCGCTGCTTGGGAGCCTGGCGGCGCTCCCGCCGAGGGTTCGGATCCCATGTGGAGACCGGTTCCCGCCCACTGGCTGNCTGGTACGGGCGCGACACCGAGGGTTGCAATCCCATTACTGGTCAGTAAAAAAGACAAAAACAAGGAAAAAAAAAAAAAAAAAGAAAGGTCTCATGATCCACGGGCTGGTGTGCACATTCCCCTCCCATCTTCCTGTCGCTCTCCTGAAATCCCTCGTGCCTTTACACAATGTTCACTGATCCCGAGTCCCTTTCATCTGTGAGCTATTTCTGTCTTCCTCATTGCAAGTCTACTCTTTCCTCTTCCCACCTCCACTGTCACATTATTTCTGGATTCTCTTAAACCTCTGTTTTCAGAATTCCAGAATCAGCACCTACCTCGTTTCCATTACACCTAGCACATTGTCGAAGGCAGCATTACTACAGTGGGCGCAGAGTGAATCATCTGGGGTTGAAACATGAGTCCAATCATCCTTTCAAACTACTTATTTCTAAGATAGGCTTTGTCCCTTTCTTTGTCCCTCTTCCGACTGATTGGCTCTCTAAGGCCTGGATGAAGACTTGGAATGAAGCTCACTTATCTTGTAAGAAATCCTAGTTACTGAGCCACACAGTGTTGACTGTGCTATTAAATTTCTCCACTGGGGGTCGTGTCTTGGGTGTGGCTTGTAAGCTCTATGCCTGGGGGCCTATGTACCAGGTATCACAGTATTCTCCAGCCCTATACCATAGACCCAGCTCTCAAACGTGGCTGTACATTGGAATCTGTGGAGTTCTGAAAATATTGCTGCCTGGGTCTCATCCCAAGANTTGACTGTGCTATTAAATTTCTCCACTGGGGGTCGTGTCTTGGGTGTGGCTTGTAAGCTCTGTGCCTGGGGGCCTATGTACCAGGTATCACAGTATTCTCCAGCCCTATACCATAGACCCAGCTCTCAAACATGGCTGTACATTGGAATCTGTGGAGTTCTGAAAATATTGCTGCCTGGGTCTCATCCCAAGAAATTCTGGTTTAATTACTCAGGGATAAGGCCTGAGCTTTAGGGCTTTTAAAAGTTCCCAGGTGATTATACTGTGCAGTAAAGTTTGAGAACCACTGCTGTAGACCAGGGGTCAGAAAACTTTCTGTGAAGGGCTAGAGAATAAGTATTTTTGGTTTTGTGGGCCACAACTACTCAACTCTGTAGCATGAAAGCTGCCACTGGCAAATGAATAGGAACAGCTGGTTTCCAATCAACCTTCATTTACAAAAACGGGGCTATCCAGATTTGTTCCATGGGCCATGGTATATTGGCCCCCGGTCTAGAGTACCTTTACTAACGTCGGTAATAGTTTTTTTTAAAAAACAGATTCAAAATTTCAGCCAAAGTAACCCCATCATATGATTTCATTGTCCTGTGGTTGGATATAACTCACATTTAGGTGTCAGGGATGTGAAAGTGAAGCCACAAAATTC